CAATAAAAGAAAGATTAGAAAGTGAATAAAAAGTGCAGAAACTGAAGGTGGGGAGTCTACCTAGCCCACCAAGTTGGGAGAGTGCAAGTGTAAAGTTCAGATGGGTCCGCAATGACTCCCTGGGAGACCTGAGGCAATTTACTCTCACCGTTTGGAGCTACATTTTTCTCAGAACTAGGACACCAAAACCAGAGGGGGGGGGGGGTGAAGTTATTGTGACGATGTCTTCAATATCAAGGACCATATGGATTCTTAATGAGAGTAATATTAATATTTCTACCCATCATAATCACACACATATGAATATAGCCTTGATTTTAGGAAGGAAACTATTGCCAAGTGAAATGCTACCTTTGGAGCGGGCATGTTTTCCCAAGTGCTATTTCCAGATCGACCGAGTTCTCTTGTTCCAGGAGAGCCCGTGTGGCCCCTGCCTTTGGCGAGGGCCCAGGTATGCTCTATTCACTCTGCTCCCACTCCCTCCTTTCTCCGGGGCTTTACCTTGCTGTTTTTGCATGGTAGTGAAATCCTCAAAGGTGAGTGTGCGCACAGGGGGTCTCCAAAATGCATAAGTCTCCATGATGGCTTCCAGTCCAGTTCTGTAGAGAGAGAAGCCAGTGAAGGATGCTGTAAGTCACCCCCAAGCAATGCCCTGACTTTTAAAGCTGCTGAGCTAGCTTGTCTAACAAGTGCCACATGAATGGGCACCGAGAGATACCATCAGCACAGTGCAGGAGTCCAGGAAAGCACAAAGTTCTGGTGGCACCGCATGGCAAATGGAAGAACAAATTAATTACATTCAGACGACATTCAAGCAGAACTGTAATTATGAAGGCTTTTCAGTCTAGCCAGTCTTCAAAGGACGTATGGTCGGCATGAAAAAGAAGTATGTTAAGCGTCAAATGTCACAACTCTGAACATAATAGGTACAGCTGAGCAGAGAGTGGCCGTGGACTATTTCTCTGATGCAGGAAGATGTCATCATCATTATTACAGTGCAGGGACACAGCTTGTCCCAATGTCAACTCCACCCTTCGACTATGCAAAGAGCCAACTGCCAAGCTGCTGTGACTTTAATGGCTTCTTAAAGCAACAGAGACAAGGAGGCAACAGTAAGGACATACCTGCGTTTGCATGTGGCTATCACAAGAAAAACCTACCTGAAGGCAAAGAAAAGATTGGTCCTAGAAATTTCACCTCAGGCAAAAAGACTAATATATTTCTTCAAATATGTATCTACAGTTATCTAAACCAGGAATGAAATTTGCCTTTGAGGGTCATAGTCGTAGGACTTCAGGAAATGTCAAATATTTTACAAATAAATTCCTGGTTCATTCGTATTTGAATCCCTATTAATTAGAGTCCATAGTCAGTGTCTACTTTACCCTTCAATTAATGATCGATCGTTCATATATATACAAAATTCTAACATACACCATCTTAGCATAATTATTCAGATATTTCTGATAGACTCTTGTTTCTATTTCATGTCCTTAAAACCAGGTATTGGTTGGCTTTTGTTTAAAGCTTTGAGCACAGCTTCTGATTATTGAGTTTTCCTTAACACTAACTCCTTAGCTTTTATGTCAATGTAGGAAGGGAGGGTGTCGGGACTACAAGACAGGAAGGAGAAAGAGGGTGGAGAAGAGCGCTTCACGTACGTCTTCTCAGCACACACTCACTGGAAGGCACTATGGTGCCCTTTCCTGGGGGTGGGAGGGGTGATAATTTCCTTTTGAAATGAAACCTACTGCCTGTCCATGTCTCTAGGTGTTGTATTTCCAGAGTTATCTTCAATCCTGCCTACCAAAAATAAAGTGAGAAGTATTTCATTTTAAGTGAGAACAAGTATCTCTTCCTTATAAATGACTATCGGATCCCCTGAAGTTCAAATCAGAAGAGCTGCTGATACACTGATTGACTCTCTGGGTGGGAAACTTTTCTCTGCGAACTTGCCTTCCCTGTCCAGCTAACGTTCTAAAGTCTTCCCTGGAATCTTGGAGGCTTTAAATACACCAACGTTGGCAAACCAAAGTCTGTATTTTAAGAAGAGGTTCATAGGAGAGGGTGTTGCATGGTGTTTATTAGCTGTTAATCTGTTAGAAGTAGGAATAGAAGACATCTCCACATAGTCAGCCTGCATTAATGCTGACTACAGTACATGAAAACTATTTGTGGAGAGAATGGGCCCAGGCGATTAGAGTTCAGAATAATAAGGGGATACGCAGATAAAGCCATGTTGAGCCATGGTGGATATAAGAAATAGATAGGCCAGGCTTAGATCTGACTGCTTTGTTTTGGAATGTTGGCTGCTCACCAGACTATTTTAGGATTCCCTTTAATGGCACAGGAGGCTCACTGCAAATGGCAGGGTCTTTATTGTTCCACGTCCTCTCCCATTCTTCCCAGGAACATGTACCGATGATGAGGGCACAACATTAGCTCAAGGACAAATAACAGTCCCTTCTCATTTCATAATAAAGTGCTGGAAGGCTAAAGTAG